ACCTGGTATATTACAGTATGGAAATGTATATACAGTAAATCTCTGTATGCCACTGCTATCCCCAGCATGCCACAGTTACATATAGTAGGTCCATCCTACAGATGCCATCATCTACTGCAAGTTTGGTTTAGCTAGGGCTTATATGTTCATTGAAGCAAAAAGAAGAAGTTTACACACTCCCAGAGCACTGTACGGTTACCTAAGATGTGGGATTATCAATAAAGTACACAGAGTTACTTACCTAAGAAATGTTTGAACATTATTTTAAACACATGCAGTAGTTTTTTTAATTTAGGGAAACTTATTGTGTTCTTTTATTACTCTGAAATAACTATGAAAAATTAATAAACCATTGCTTCAAAGAAAATTTATCTATCAATTTTTAAAATTAATTATTCTTTGGTTTGATTTATTAGTTAATTAATTGATTTATTTATTTTGCGAACTTATTTAATCCATAAAATTGGAGTGACTTTGTAACTTTTGTGAAAAAAAACAAACAAAAAAAAAACGTAACCGGGGTAAATCTTGGGTTTTTTATTTAAACTTATTGATGTTCTTAAAAACTTTAATCTAATCAATTGCATGTAATCAATCATTGCGTAAAAACTTTTTTTCAATTTCTAAATTGAATATACAACAAAATTATTAAGGAAGTTGGATTTATTTGGCTAATTTTATGTAAACAATTTTATGCTAAAATGTGTTTCAAAGTCTTTTTGAAGCATATTTAAATTATTTTTAATTATTTTACTACCGTGTTGGTAATCAAAATAATCGTCTAATTGTGCACAATCTTAACCCGTCAATATCTTTTTGAAACTTCTATTTTGCTTTGTATGAAAAATAAATCGGTTCTCATACAAAGAGATAATGTTATTTAAAGCAGCTGCTCTCTGTCACAAAATAAACAAGGTATAGTGATCAGTGAAAAAGACAATAGGTGTCATTACTGTGTACCCCACGTCACTGGTAAACAGTCAATGGCTTTGAAGTTCTTTCATAATCGTGTTACGGTTTTAAAAACATTTTTTTTTCAATCAAATCAAAGTAAAAAAAAATATGAATTTGCAATTGACAAATTAAAATTGTGCATCATCTGACGATTATTTTGATATCCATCATGGACGTAAAATAACTGAAATTCGTCTTAATATGCTAAAAAAATACTTTGAAACATAGTTTAAGATAAAAATCTTAATACAAAAAACCCTACAATATCTCTTTTGGGATATAAATAATTAATTATTTTGTTGTATTGTCAATTTAAAAAATATAATTAAAAAGTTTGACATTTTTATGATGATAAATAAATTATCTATTTTATTTATTTACCATTTATTTATTTCTCTAACACCTATTTAATCCATAAAATACTTGGAATGGCTTTTTGTACCTGTTATAAAAAAATTTACACACACACACACCTTCACAACAAGAGTAATGCTGCTTATTTAAAAAAAAATAGTTTTTAAAATCAATTCAATAATTGATTTTAAATGGTTAGTGAATAAATAGATAAAACGAATTTACAGCACGTATTTAATCATTGTAAAAGAAACAAAATATTTTTCTATTTAATTTTAAAATTGACGATACAAACAAATTAATTAATTATAATCCCAAAAGTTGGATTTATTTGGCTTACTTAATGTAAACAAGTTTCCGCTAAAATGTCCCTCAAAGTCTTTTTGAAGCATTTTGATACTACTTTTAATTATTTTACTTCCGTGTTGGATATCAAAATAATCGTCTCATAATGCACAATCTTAATCCGTCAATAGCTTTTCTGATACTTTTATTTTGTTTTGATTGAAAAAAAAAAACCGGTTCTCTCACAAAGAGAAAATGCTATTTCAAAAGCCTTAACCTGGTCACAAAATAAACAAGGTATAGTGGTCAGTGAAAAAGACAATAGGTGTCATTTCTGTGTACCCCATGTCCCTTGTAAACAATCAATGGCTTTGAAGTTCTTTCATAATCGTGTTAGGGTTTTGAATACCGATTTTTTTTAATCAAAACAAAGTAAAAATATGAAATTGCAATTGACAAATTAAAATCCATGCGATTATTTTGATATCCATCATGGACGTAAAATAACTGCTATTCGCTTTTATATGCTAAAAAAATACTTTGTAACATAGTTTAGGATAAAAATATTTATACAAAAAGCTCCTAAAAATTTTTTTCTTTTTGGGGATATAAATAATTAATTATTTTGTTGTATTGTCAATTTAAAAAATATAATTAAAAAGTTTGACATTTTTATGGTGATAAATTAATTACTTATTTTATTTATTTACCATTTATTTATTTCTCTAACACCTATTTAATCCATAAATTACTTGGAATGGCTTTTTTGTATGAAAAAAAAATTACACAAAAACACACACCTTCACAACAAGAGTAATGCTGCATTTTAGAAAATTTTAGATTCTAAAATAAATTCAATAATTGATTTTTAAATGGTTAGAAATTAAATAAATAAAACTGATTTTAAGCACGTATTTTATCATTGTAAAAAGAACAATATATTTATCTATTTATTTTTTAAATTGACGATACAAGCAAATTAATTAATTATAATCCCGAAAGTTGGATTTATTTGGCTTAGCTAAAATGTCTCTCAAAGTCTTTTTGAAGCATTTTTATACTACTTTTAATTATTTTACTTCCGTGTTGGATATCAAAATAATCGTCTCATAATGCACAATCTTAATCCGTCAATAGCTTTTTTGATACTTTTATTTTGTTTTTGTTTGATAAAAAACGGTTTTCTCACAAAGAGAAAATGTTATTTCAAACATGCAGAGTGGACACGGTCGCTCTCTGTCACAAAATAAACAAGGTATAAATGAAAGAAATAGGTGTACATGTCATTACTGTGTAAATTTTGTAAACAATCAATGGCTTTGAAGTTCTTTCATAATCGTGTTAGGGTTTTGATTATTTTTTTAAATCAAAACAAAGTAAAAAATGAAATTGCAATTGACAAATTAATATTGTGCATAAGCGATTATTTTGATATCCATCATGAACGTAAAATTAAATTTACAATGCTTAAAAAATACTTTGTGATATTTTAGGAGAAATGATTTTCACATAAAAATAAAAATAAAAAAATAATACTATTTAATCATACTTGTCAGTTACAAAATAAAAAATTATTTTTTATATATATATCTATGTATTTGTATACATGATAAACAAATAAAAAATAAGATATATATATATTAATTTTGTATTTTTAAAGTCATTTATTTTATTTAATTTTCACTTACCCCTTCACCTTATTTAAGTTTATATGCAGCACTGTATTTCTCAAGAAATAAATTTGTTTTTAAAATGATTAATTTCATGCCGTTAATTAATTTTAATTTAGAAATATATCAACTTTAAAAACTACCTTTGCCAAAATTCAGCATTACCCCGGCCGTGTTTTTTTTTTTAAAGTTCAAAGTCACTCCAAGAATTTTATGGATTAAATAGGTGTTTGCAAAATAAATGAATTAAGTAATAAATCAAACCAAAGAATAATTAAATAATTAATTTTAAAAATTGATAGATAAATTTTCTTTGAAGCAACAATTTATTAATGTTTCATAGTTATTTCAGAGTTATAAAAGAACACAATTAGTCTCTTAACACTTTAAAAAAAATACTACCATGTGTTATCATCAAAAATATTTATAAATTTTTAAAATAATGTTCAAAAATTTCTTAGGTAAAATTTATTTGACAAAATCTTAGGTAACCGTACAGTGCTCTGGGAGTGTGTAAACTTCTTCTTTTTGCTTCACTGAACATATACAGGGGCGTACTGGGGCATATACTGTGGTTATTGTTTAGTAAACAGTAGCCATACAGTGGCATACTGTAGGCGTAGGCCTACTGTATGTAACTGTAATCAATAAGCATACAAGATTTATGTATATACAGAGCTAGTTTTAGATATCCGTAGATTACTGTGAAAATGTTTTTCCAAGAATGAAATTCTAAATACGGACAGGGGTTTTAAAAGCCAGTAGTGTTAGAAATATAAGAGCAGGAGATTCCTTTGCCTTGTACATGTACGCCCTAGTGCTTTGCTGTTCATATAATGAAAAAAATTCTTTATGTAAATAAGGTAAATCTTGAATTTTTATAATGGCTAGTTCCATGACCTACTTTATGACGTAATTTGAAACCAAAGATGCATCAACTAACAGATTTGGATGATTTCAAGGTTATCATCCAAAATATTTATAGATACTGGTTTGACTGTTATTGTTTAGCAAAAAGCAAACCGTAGGACCAAATTAAAAGAGCATTTTCAATTATGCAATTCTAAAAAGATCGTCGTGACCTGCTTCTTGGGTGAACTCTCTAAGGACCCAAGAAGTATGGAAAGACAAAGTTTGATGATTCCAAGTACTAGTATCTTATAATCAAAATTTATTAAATACAAATATCAAACGTACTCGCTTTTTTAGTTGACATGCTTTGAGAACCCAAGGTGCATCAACTGATAAACATGATTATATAAGTAAATATTTGTTTTGTCTATATCACTATTAAGACAACTATTAAAATAATACCTTGAAATATCAAAAGAAGGTCACAATGGCAAAATTCAATCATTTATTTGATGAATATCAAACAATAAGAATCACAGCATCAACTTTATCATAATATTTACAAGTAAATAAATGTAGACAAAATTATTCACAGGAACTAAAAACCAAAACAAGAGGCCCATAGGCCACATTGCTCACTTGAGTATCTTTTGTCATGCAGTTTTCTTTACCAGATTTCCCATCTTCTTATACATGTATCTATTGTTCCCCCTTACCCCCCCCCCCCCCCCCACACACACACCTCCCGTTTGGATTTTAATAATTTAGAATCTACCCTTCTCCAGGATGCTTCCACCTAAGTTTCAGCTTTCCTGACCCACTGGTTCTTGAGAAGAAGATGTTTCCTATATATTTACATATAAGAATTGAATTCCATCTTGTTGCCCCGCCCTAACCCGGGGGGCATGATTTGGATAATTTAGAATCTACACTTCACCAGAATGATTTCACACATTTCAGCTATCCTCGCCCACTGGTTCTTGAGTACTTTTTAAAGATTTTTGCTATGTGGCCTCGCCCTACCCTCGGGGGTCATGATTTTTACAATTTAAATTCTTCACTACCCCAGAATGCTTCAAAATTAATTTCAACTTTTCTGACCCAATAGTTCTTTCTATATATTTTTTTGTAAAACTAAGATTTTCTATTGTGGCCAAGCCATACCCCGGGGGTCTTGCTTTTTACAATTTAATTTTACACAACCCCAGGATGCTTCCACATTAGTTTCAGCTTTTCTGGCTCACTGGTTCTTGAGAAAACGATTTTAAATTTTTTTTTCCAAAATATTTCTATGTAAAACTTTCCTATTGTGGCCCCTCCCTACCCCCAGGGGTCATGATTTTACCAATTTAAGATCTACACTATCCTATGATGCTTTAACATAAGTTTCAGCTTCCCTGGCCCAGTGGTTCTTGAGAAGAAGATTTTTGAATACTTTTCCTATATATTTCAAAGTAAAACTTGGATTTCCTATTGTGGCCCCGCCCTACCCCCATGGGTCACGATTTTAACAATTTAGAACCTATATTACCCAGGATGATTCCACATAAGTTTCAGCTTTCCTGGCCCAGTGGTTCTCTAGAAGAAGATTTTTTAATGATCCAACCCTATTTTTTGTCTTTTCTTGATTATCTCCCCTTGAAAGGGGACCCCCATCCCCAAAGGATGCTTTGTATTAAGTTTGGTTAAAATTGGCCCAGTGGTCCTTGAGGAGAAGTTGAAAATGTGAAAAGTTTACAGACGGACGGACGGACAGAGGGACACACAGACTGGACGAACTACGGATAAAATGTGATCAAAAAAGCTCACTTGAGCCTTCGGCTCAGGTGAGCTAAAAACTAAATTTCTACAGATTCATTTTATCAAGAAAATATGTATATAATTAAATCAAAAGGCGCCTCCTTTTTGTCTACATTTTAATTTGATATCATAAGGGCATATCACTGCTAGTCTTACAGTAATAATCAGAGATGTCTGTATCTTTTCCCACCAATATTCACATCTAGAGAAGCATCGTTCTCTTTCCGTAATTCTATTCGTCTCTGTACAGTCCTTGAATTCATCTTTCACAATGAAAAACTTACAAAGTTTTTACAAAAATGTTCTCTGAAACAATAACACTTATTTGCAGATTGAAAGGAAAATCAAAGAGACATAAATCACTTCAGTTCCCACTCAAATTACATGTATAATATTATTCCTCCCAACAGTATGATTTTTGATTGGACATTTCAAGTGTCTTTTGCCATTTTTTTCCACACAGATTAAATTCACACTTTTTAATATAAATTCATGTGTATCTTCAACCATGTCATTAATAAATTATTTTGCACGGATATCACCAATGTATTCTTCTCCATTATATATTTTCTAGTGTCTCTGTATAATCCATAGATACACTCCAACACACATCAGGTATGATGGAGTTGTTTATCAAGTCTATCCCCTACCTTCCAAATTTACATGATTCCATCTTCATGTTTCGTTTAAAATGTCCTTCTTTCCAATTATATACCACATGACATATTATTTAATCACTTTTAATTAACTCATGAATTTTTCCACACACACATACACACACAATCTTCACACTTCACTTTTTTTAAAGAGTCATTGCGTATACGTGTTCATAAGTATCTCTGTAAAAGCTCAGACTGATTAAAAAAAATTTAACAAGATGTGTTTGTGAAACACTATGCGCCCCGTGGCAACAAAGTTCAAAAAATCTATTTTTAGCATATTTATCACAGTCAAGGTCACAAGGTCATTGACCATGGTGTCATTTGAAAGAACTTAATCAGTGGAGTATGCATACTAAATATGAAGTCTCTACCTCTTATGGTTCAAAAGTTATAGCAAAAAGTGTAAAGAGCTATTTTTAGCATATAGGTCACAGTCAGGTCACAAGGTCATTGACCATGATGTCATTTAAAAGAATTAATCGGTGGAGTATGCATACCAAATATGAAGTCCCTATCTCCTATGGTTCAAAAATTATGGCAAAAAGTGTAAAAAGCTATTTTTAGCATACAGGTCACAAGATCATTGACCTTGCCATCGTTTGAAAGGACTTTATCGGTGGAGTATTCATACCAAATATGAAGTCCCTATCTCCTATGGTTCAAAAGACATGACAAACAGTTGAAAAAGCTATTTTTAGCATGTAGGTAACAGTCAAGGTCACAAGGTCATTGATCTTGATGTCATTTGAAAGGACTTTATTAGTGGAGTATGCATACCAAATATGAAGTCTCTATCTCTTATTGTTCAAAAGTTATGGCGAAGGTTAAAGTTGTCAACAGACAGACAGACAAACAGACAGGACACAAACAATATACGCCAGGGATCTATCGATTGGCGCATAAAAATTCCATTTTCATAAACAAATAAGATTCCTCACACGTTTGATAAAAATCATATCCAGAGACGATCCGTCATAGTGATTCTGACTAGGATACCGTTGTTTTTCATATAAATTTATCCTTACACGTTGATATGCTGAGCGTTTGCTTTCCCACAAACATCAGTTCACCATGGCTTATGTACCCTGTACGTGTCCCTGTGCATTTTTTTGTTATTTTTTTTTTGACTGGATTGCATGCCTTCCCAGGCAAAATACACTTTTAGGTCAAAAAATTGGAATAACGTATTTTGCCACCGGTACAAGTTCTTGTGTGTTTTCGTAAGCTATCCGGTCAGTAGAAGCTTTTTTACTCACGTTTATAAGATTTATCACCCAGGTTGTTCCTTCAAGCACTTTTGTAAGCCAAGCTTCCAAAACATATTTACAAGAACGTTAGTATCTTTAAAATAATTTGAAGATGATCTGATGGCATGCATGCCGTCTTACATAAATTCAATTTTGATATCTTCTTAAAAGTATGTTTTCTTTGTCTCAAGAAGCTAAGCATGTGATTAGTAAAATGTTTGTGAAATGCCTTCTCAGCCACATCACATTGATACTAGGGTCTCTCACTTCTGTGTCTCCTCAACTGATCGTGTTCTGATCAGTTCTTTTTTTTTTCCTATACAGTATGTGTCTTCTTGTGTCTCTTTAAGACCTTCAATTGTATAAATCTCTTCCCACACACATCACATTTATAAGGTTTTTCACCTGTATGAATCATAACGTGGGTTTTTAAGGAACTTGATCGCTTGAATGATTTTCCGCAAAGAACACATTTATATCGTTTTACATCAGAATGTTTGATCTTGTGTAAGTTTAATTTGTCTAGTCGACTGAAAGTTTTGCCACATGTAATACATTTATGAGGTTTTTCACCTGTATGAACCCTGATATGTAGCTTCAATTTATAAGACCTGATAAATGCCTTTCCGCAAACATCACATTTATGAGGTCTTTCACCTGTATGTGTCTTCATGTGGTCATATAACCAAAATAATTCCGTACATGCTTTCCCACACACATCACAGAGATACGGCTTTTCACCTGTATGTGTCTTCATGTGTTGACGTAAGGCACATAATTCTACATATGCTTTCCCACACATATCACAGAGATATGGCTTTTCACCTGTATGTGCCATTCTGTGTCTCTTTAAGGAATATAAGGACGAGTACGTCTTTCCACACAAATGACATCTATAACCTCTATGACCTAAGCCAATCTTTCTGTGACCCCTTAACGGCTCTGATTGGTTGAATACTTTCCCACCTATATCATAGCTACAGGCTTTCTTATCTGTAGGTGTCCTTGTGTATCTTTGCAATGTTGTTTTGAGGCTGCTAGCTTTCTCACTCACTTTACCTTTCTGACCTTTCTTGTGTATGTGTGTTTTCATGTGTCTCTCCACGCAAGTGTCAATCTTTCTATGAACTTTGGATATACACAACTTTCTCCCATTCGAAATCCTTCTCAACTTGTTTAACTGTCCAATTTTAGGATTTAAGTTCGTTCCAGTAGATTCCTTTGATGTGTTATTACACTGAAGTTTTCTACCATGTTCTAATACAGAATGTTCAGTGAAAGGTTCCAGACACATGTTAAAATTATGAATTTTTACCTGTGTGTGTATCCTCATGTGTCCCTCCATACAAGGGACAATTTTCCCGCACAACTCACAGAGACAGGATCCTTTTACTGTTTCATCAAATTTCCCAATTTCATCACATACCATCCTGCACATATCAACAAATGGGTTCTTACAATGTTGTTTTTTCTTGTGTCTTTCCAGTTCGTTTTTCTCATTGAAGGTCATCTGACATACATCACATTTTAAAAGTTTCTCACAAATCTGTCTCTTTCTGTGCTTCTCTGAGTAATGTTTTTGCCCAAAGGACTTTCCACTTTTATCACAGTCAAAAGAGTTTTCACCAGTGTCCACCGTCAGGTGTTTGTTCAAACATTCTTTTTCAGCAGAGGTTACAAGACTTTTACCAGCATGCTTCTTCATATGTCCCAACAAATGCCCTCTTTCACAAAATGCTTTTTCACACACTAAACATTTATAAGGTTTCTTACTTGTATGTATCTTCTTGTGTCTGTGTAAATTTACCGATTTACTAAATACTTTCCCACAAACATTACAATGATATGGAGCTTTACCCTGATGTGTGCATGGTCCTTGTATGTTGTTTGACTGGCCATCTATATCATTATCATTGAATAGTCTCTCAACTCTATGTGGCATTTGGCCTTTCAAAGAGTCTGATGCCTGAGGGGAACTCCTTTGTTTTTCACATTTGTGTGTCACCAAATGCATCTTTAAATCGGATTTTTCTGTGATTTTCTTCAGACGCACAAAACACTCATAATTTTTCTCACCAGCATGTATCTTCCGATGGCACTGTAGTTGCTCTGATGTAGAGAATGCTCTTCCACACACGTCACATCTAAATGGTTGTTCAACAGCATGTCTCCTTATATGACACCGTAAGTTATCTTTTCGGGTGAAAGCTTTTCCACACACTTCACACTTATGTGGTTTATCACCTGTATGGGTCTTCATGTGTCTTTGTAGGTTTTCTGGAAATTTATAAGCTATCTCACAGAGGTCACATTTATAAGGTCTATCAGCTGTATGTGCCCGCAGGTGTCTCTGTAAGGCGGATTTCTCAATGAAAGCCTTCCCACACACATCACATTTATATGGTCCATCATCTGTATGTGTCCATAGGTGTCTCTGTAAATAGTATTTCCCAATGAAAGCCTTCCCACACACATTACATTTATGTGGTTTATCACCTGTATGTGTCCTCATGTGTCTTTTTTTACTTTCTGGAAATTTGAAAAGCATCCCACAGACAACACATTTATAAGGTTTATCATCTGTGTGTGTCCTCAGGTGACTCTGTAAGGAGGATTTCATAATGAATGCCTTTCCACACACATCACATTTATAAGGTTTATCACCTGTGTGTATCCTCATGTGACTTTTTAGAGTATCTGATGCTGTGAATTTCTTTCCACACACATCACATTGATAAGGTTTTTCACCTGAATGTACCCTCATGTGTCTTTGTAAGCAACCAACATGACTCAGCGTTTTCCCACAAATGCTACATTTAACAGTCTTTTTCCTTTGATGAGTGTAAATCTGCTTCTTTAAGTTCTTTCCGCTACCACCATCATCAACATATTTGTTTATTTTTTCGCTATTACTTTTATTGTTTGTTAATTTTTCAGCATTATCTTTATTGTGTGATCTGGATGACCCAGTGGTCTTTTTCCCCTGAAAAGTTACAAAATCACTTCATAAGTTCTATGATCCGTACATTGACTTTGTCAGCAAATAGAATCTACAATCAATGATTATTAAGTCAAATGCTTGTTTTGCCATTATTCAAACACTGAATTGTGATACATTTTTTTCTGTTTTATCATGATCATTACATGGCAGACACATAAAAGATGTGACCACTTGGCTGGGAGGCACTAATTCCTCCATGGCACCTGATCCCACCTCTGATGTTTTCAAGTTATGTGTTTGCTCTGCTTTTGATTTGAATTACTGGACTTCTTAGAAACTTGTTTTATGATTTCATGCTTATGTTTCAACCATTTGACAAAAATGAACCAGCAATGAGCAAATTATCACCTTTTTCTAAGCCTGAGAAAATAAGCATCACCCTCATATTTACCTGGTCTGTATACCTCTATCAATTATGTGCTCTATGATCCTCATTAGGTACTTGAAATTGTATATCGCTGTGTTCTTCTCCAAATAAAGCTTAAATTTACTTGAACCCCCCCCCCCCCCAAAAAAAAAACTGTTATTTGGAGAAGCATTTTTGAAAGAATTTCACGAAATTTCTATTTTTAGTAACCACGGCAACACCATTCATCGAAATCAAAAACCGATATACAGAATTATGTATCTTAGTGTAGTCTACTTGTGTGCCAAGTTATATTGAAATCAGACCAAAACTGTAGGAGGAGTAGAATTTTGAAAGAATTTCACAGAAATTTCTATTTTAAGTAACCACGTCAAGACCGTTCATCGAAATCAAAAACCGATACACAGAATTATGTATTGTATTGTAGTCTACTGGTGTGCCAAGTTATATTGAAATCAGACCAAAACTGTAGGAGGAGTAGCATTTTGAAAGAATTTCACAGAAATATCTATTTTTTTAGAAACCACGGCAACACCGTTCATCGAAATCAAAAACCGATACACAGAATTATGTATCTTAGTGTAGTCTACTTGTGTGCCAAGTTATATTGAAATCAGACCAAAACTGTAGGAGGAGTAGCATTTTGAAAAATTGTTTACAGACAGACAGACGGACAGACAGACAGACAGACAGCTAGACAGACGGACGGAAGACGGACGCATTACCATCGCATAAGCTCTTCTGGTCTCTGACCAGTAGAGCTAAAAATCAGATGAGAATCTAGCAATTTATTTATTAACTGAAAGCACACATTTTCATTGCTAATATTGGAAATTTTAAAAATAAAGAAAAGGGAGAGCTACAGATGCAAATATACACTACATAACGACTTTTCAGGCTCATGCGTTTCAAAAGCATGAATGACAGTTCCTTGACCGGAAGTCCAAGGGTTACTAGTAGTTACAAAATCACTTAAAGTTACTACACTATGCCAAGTTAGAGAAAATTCGACAAGACAAGAATAGACAAGAATATTTATTTCACTCAGATTAAGACATTGATAAACTTACTGCATGGTAGAATTCGGCTGCTTATGTTGTACAAGGCTGACTAGCACGTTTTAATTGAATGGTCAGAAAGGGGGGATATTTTAGAGTTATGTGTTACTTTATAAGGTTTAAAGATAAGATTAAGAATTAATACATAAATTTTAATTTAAATACATAAATTTAAAAAGTAAAATTTACAAAACAAAGATACTTCATTTAAACTTAAAATGTTATTTTTAGAACTCAGAAAGTAACACATAACTTTTAAAACATCTAGTGTTTATTTTTGGGACATCATCAACTTAAGGTTCATAAACCCTCTGCTCAATCATTTAAAATATTGTTTGAACCTAAATATTCATTTTCCAAAAGAAATGTATTTTTCTTTGTTATAAGTAAAATACAGACAATTACAGTCTAGCTTGTGGGGCAAAATAGGACCAAAAAAATGCACTTCAACTTGGCAAATCTGTTCAAGAATAATAGATATGTCATTAAGAGTTATCTCTCTTATTAGAGTATAAATAAACCTTAAGGACTTGCACAACATAACCTTTTATAATCATCCCTACTGATAAATGTTTTGCTTACTTCTGAATTTTGTATATTAAAATTAAATGGATTAAATGCTTTAAAAGAAATAAATTCTATTTTTTTTTATTTTTCAGACAGTATTTCCCAGTTTGGATAAAATTTGCAGTATTTACAAGGACGGAAAAAGGAGTATTTACCGTGGTTAACTCCCACAAACGGTATTTCCTGGTGAACCCTGCCTAATAAAGTACTGTATACAGGGTTATTTTTGCCCCGACTAATTTTCACCCTTTCATACTTGCAAACAATTTTGCCCTGATTTAAATTCACCCAGTCATAGTTTTGTTTAAGAAATTATACTGTATTCTATGAATTCGCCACCTTTTAAATTCGTCCAAATGAGAGTAGGGCGAAAGGGGCGAAAATAAAATGGGGGCAAAATTCCTTGTATACAGTATAAAGGATTTACACATACATGTACCTTCATTATTTTCTGGTGTTGGTATTCTTCTTTCTCATTCACAGGGTCAGAATTCTGTAATGGTTGTTTCTTTCCTAAAAATAAAACAAATACAGGGTAGAGTTAGTATGCTATTTTGAGATTATTTTTGTTAAATTTTTAGAATGCATACAGAATCATTTAGATGACCAATCATTGAATAGTATTCTAAAAAAACATAATTTTTTCCTCTATTATTACTACATTAAACTTTAATAACCCATTGTGGGCCCTCCCTAACCCTGGGGTCATGATTTGAATAAATCTGAATCTTAACTACATGAAAGACAAAAACATAGCATTTTACCTAAGAAGATTTTAAAACCTTTTTCCTGAGTGTGTTTTCCTTTGTAAAACCTTGATTAGTCCTTGTGACTCAATGAGTGTCATGGTTTTAAAAAGTTTGAATTTACATGATGATGCTTTCATAAGTTTCATGTGACAGCAAAACCCAGTCATAACGAAGTCATTGGAACCTATGAAATTACTTAGCTATATCTGTAATTTGTTATAACTGTATAAGAAATTCATTAATTTATATAGCTGGGGACCCAAGATCATTTCGCTTTATCCCTGAATTTGCAATATCCGTGTTTGCACTAAACAAGTTTTACTGTATCTTGTGCACTTGATCTTGAGCCTGTTGAGAAAAGGATTTTAAAATATTCTATGAATTATTTTACTTTTTTTCTAACTACTAAATGTATTGTTCAATTGAAGAAAGCATGACCCTACATTTGCACAGATACAATGAGTAACCTCTCTTTGCTATCACCTACTTTTTTCTGGCATTAGTAACTCAAGCATCAGCCATGTTATCTTTCCAAAATATTTTCAACAAAATAAAAACTCGACAAATTATCTCATGTTATTCCTCTCCAACTTTACATCACATGCACCAAAAGGTTTTTGCTTGTGCACCAAAGACAAAAACAAATGTTTGATGTGCTCCAAAACAAAAACAAATATCTGATTAAATTTATACGTTTTTCAATAAAAAAAAAAAACTAGAAATATGTCCATAGGAAATGAATGCCCTGCCAAGGATACATTAGTAAAGCAACATGAAAATTTGTACGTGTATAAAATTTGATCAGCTTAGTTCAGGTAGAGGTCATAGTTACTAGGGAATAAAAATGTAGGTCAGATCCAGCAAGTCTGGTAGTGTCCATCCCTAGATGCATCATCCATGCAAGTTTGGTTCAGGCAGGGCTTATAGTTACTTGAGAATGAAAACTAATGTCAAATCCAGCATCCGAAGCAAGTCTGGAAGTGTCCATCCCTAGATGTATCATCCATGCAAGTTTGGTTTATGTAGGGCCCATAGTTACTTGGGAAGGAAAATATAGGTCAGATCCACCATCCAAGGCAAGTCTGGTAGTGTCCATCCATAGATGCATCATCTATGCAAGTTTGGTTCAGGCAGGGCTTATAGTTATTAGGGATTAAAAATATAGGTCATATCCAGCATCCAAAGCAAGACTGATAGTGTCCATCTCTATATGCATCATTCATGCAAGTTTGCTTCAGACAGGGCTTATAGTTCCTTAGGAATGAAAATGTAGGTCAGATTCAGCATCTGAAGCAAGTCTGGTAGTGTCCATCTCTATATGCATCATCCATGCAAGTTTGGCTCAGGGTTTATAGTTCCTGAGGAATGGACCTGCTCCAAAAACTTTAACCTGGTCACTCATCGGGAAAATGTAGGTCAGATCCTGCATCCGAAGTAAGTCTGGTAGTGTTCATCCCTAGATGCATCATCCGTGCAAGTTTGGATTGGGTAGGGCTTTTAGTTCCTTGGAAATGGACCTGCTCCAAAAACTTAAACCTGGTCACTTATCTGGAAAATGTAGGTCAGATCCTGCATCCGAAGCAAGTCTGGTAGTGTTCATCCCTAGATGCATCATCCGAGCAAGTTTGTATCAACATGTAAAGTTTGATAACACCATCTTGAATGGTATGTCAGTCCTCCAAGTTGCGATGAAAATGGCAGCATTTGTGACAAAAAAATTGATTTTGCAACTAAAAATGAAAACACACTCGCATTTTCGCAACTGAGAAAATTTGGGCTGGATACGTCCATTTTTAAGATCGGGATCGATATCTCATTAGTAAAGATTCTTTATCAAGAAAATGTTTAAAAAACATATATTTAAATACGCTTTACAAAGCATCGCATGGACTTATATCACGTAATGTTATGGCAGCATACTGTATAAAGTTTGATAGAAACAGGGACGTACATATTATTAGTTACCTAGTCTTTTAATGACAGGGTATAGGATGATACCTGGTTAGTAAATTTCATACCTGGCGAGGCAGACCCGAGTCAGGTATGAACTAACCAGGTATCATCCCACACCCTGTCACTAAATGACTATGTAACGAATTTACCGCACCGATGAAACATTTACGTTTTCTCTGTAGTTTATAAATGGTTTTCTCTGCTAAATGCTTCAACGCGCTTATACTGTGCCTATTATGATGTCAAGTTTGTGTTTGTGACGTAATACATCGACCGGGTATAGATTCACTGACCGCGGGTATGTATTAACAACTGACTGGGTATAAGTAATCCACCGCCTTCACGTGACAGACTTCAACCAATCGTAAGTCAGAATTTCACGGAAATATCAACAGAGGTGGGGTAAAAATAATGTTCCTGATGGAATGGCATCCAAACTTCATAAACTTTCTAAGATCCGACCTTGTTACTTAAGCATTTGGTCAACTACTTGTATGTCACAATGAATCATGCTAATAAAGAGTGTTTTGGCGGCATTTATAATGACTGTGTAATAGGTTAGGTATGTAGTTGTAAGTAAACATGACAAACAGAAAGTCCTGTCTCAACTGCTGTCAAGCTTGTATTTTCATTTGATAAAATTTTATTTCTGTAATCAGATTACTTGTGTTCTTCTTTACAACCATAAGGGTACATGTATTCAAAAAAAATATTTCATTCAACATATCAAATTTTAATAGTCACAGTAATAAGTAATGTTTGATATAATAAAGAAATAATACATATCCTTCACAAGATGAAATGCTCCCATTAAGCTTGACTTAATGGTAGCTTATAGGTGCTTAATGGTGGCTTAAAGGCTGCCTTTAAACCACCATTAAGCCACCATTAAGCACCTATAAGCCACCAGTAAGCTTCCATTAAGTAACCATTAAGCCACCATTAAGCCGAATTTCTAACTTAATGGTAGCTTAATGGTGGCTTAATGGTTACTTAATGGTGGCTTACAGGTTCTTAATGGTTACTTTTAGACCACCATTAAGTCACCATTAAGCCACCATTAAGGTAGACTTACAGGTGCTTAATGTCCAAACTCCATTAAGCTACCATTAAGCCACCATTAAGCCACCATTAAGTCACATTACGCAGTCGATTATATTGTTTATATGGGTGAAAAATTATTTTTATAGTGATTTGTTATCATTATTATCAATGTAGAGTTCGTTTTATCTTGATTTGGTTAAAAATAATGAAAAAGAACAAAATTCAAAATAAAAAAAAAAACAAAAAAAAAAAAAAAACACGCCGCAGTGTGGGCGCGAACCCATGACCTTAAGTTTCGAAGGCAAACGCCTTATCCATTACGCTATCGCCGCTCCTTATTAAATGAGAAAATATTAAATATTTAACCTTTATTTTTTTCAAAATTTGTTTGGACTTGTTAAGGTTTTTACTAGAATTTTGTGGAACATTTCCAAACGTCTTGAATTGGTTTATTAATCAAAATATAAACAATTTAATTTTTGGATCTTAACACATTAATATATATATTTCTACACAGAGTTCGGATGATGTAGAATGATTGAGTTCTTCGCTCTGTTAGTGTTATTCGAAAATTTTTGAAATGTAAGCATTAAATCATGATTGAAGATAAATTGATTTTAGATAAAACACAAAAGTCTATCATCGAAAAAGAAAGAGGAAAAAACAGATTCTACTATTATTTTTAATATACTGCGGATATTAACGTTTCTGTGTCAACAATTTAGTGACAATCCTCGCGTAAGAGTTACCTGGTTAATTACGTTTACAAAAACTTTTTTTAGAATATCATATTCAGTTTCAATTCTTTTTGTATCATAATGGGTGTCAAAATAATTGACTTTTTTACGATGAATCATAATTTTTATTTGTTATATGCTTGCGTTAAATTTAATTTTTTTTTAAATAATTGATCATTAAAATCTGTCAGTGTACGTTGTGTATGTATAGTTTCCTGTTAGTTAACCGGGGACGGGGGACACCTAATTAAGGTCTATTGTCTGACCAGCCGGTTTACTGTACACGGATTATCTGTTAATCCTACCCCGTTTCTTAATGTGTATACATCTAGTCGGATGTCATGTTTAATCTGATCGGCCGTTCCTCTGAAAATCGATTTTGAAATAACAATCATTGAAGACCGACTAGATTTTAACAGATACTAACCGCTGCATTATTAAAAAAAAATAATTAATTAATTAAAAGTATTCATGATGTAAAAGCCATTAAAAAGTTTTTCATGGTAAAAGTCAATTTTTGAAAACTAAACATTTGTATACCAGTAGCCCCCCCCCCCCCAAAAAGGACAAAGGTTTTTTTTTTTTTATGAGATCATATATATAGTTATATTCCTGTGAATTCTGTAGCGGAATGTTTCTTTTGACATATGAAATAAAATGACCATTTTAATAAAGTAATATATATTTTGTGTTCGGAATATAGATAATTCTAAAAACAAATTGATTTTGGTATTGTACATTTAAGATATTTCACAAGGACTTGCTCACGGTGTGTAATTATTATTTATTTTTAAAAATCATATACACTAAAAATAAAAATAACGCATGTAATAATGGTTAATTTAAAAAATAAAAATAATATACAGTTCTGATACATGATGTCTTGTTTTATTATCACTGTAAATGATTTTTAAAAAAAAATTAGACACCTCGAGCAAGCCCCTGTGGCTATTAGCTAACTTCGTTCCCAGTGATCAAGATTATGCATGTTGACAAAAAACTCGTAGAAATTATGATCGAGACAGAATTA